AGGTCAGGTCAAACTAAAAAATGTTGCTGTTTTGGGTCACCGTTGGATATCAAGTGCGCTGCTTATCATATACCGATGACGATGCCGTTTTCTGGTGCCAAGCCAGCTAGAACCTCTTTGTCACACTACCCGACCAGATTTTTGCTGCTGAGGTCATTTCAGGTCAAGTTAGGTCAAGGTCAGTTATATGTGTTTGTATGTCTGTGTGTGTCTGTGTGTATAGGGTAAGGTGCCTAATTAGCGACCCCCTTAATTTGAACCGTCATTGCTCACGCTCTGTGGGTGCCACTGTATTACTGGCTTGATTTTCGGAGAGGTCGTTCATTTTTCTATTAAATTATAGTCATTTTCTGCCCCAATATTCACTAACTTATTTGTAGTGAGCATTTTAGCAAACCATTGCAAAAAACGCTAATAGGGAACTCTTCCCGATTAGCGACCGGGGAGGGTCGCTAATAAGTCTATGGGTTTCCCCATATTAAAAAAGGCAAAAAATGCGACGCCTGAAAAGATGAAATATTATCTCAAAAAGGTAACCTATACGCAAAGCACTCAATCACTCGAACAGGAACGTTTATCCAACACATTTATGTAAGTAAGAACTGATCACGTGATGCACCGAAGGCGAAAAGAAGGCGGAAACCCAAATTTTGCGGGCTGTCTCGTATGATATTCGAGGGCTGGGGGGGATCCGTGCTATCGTAAGTTATATCGGACGTGGCTGCGAAACTTCTCTCGGTACGAAACTTCTCTTGATCGGAAGAAAATCGGAGGGATGAAAAAGAAAGAGCGGCAAATCGGAGCTACGTTGTACGTAAGTTGTTTCGCAGCGTTTAAATGCCACTTTTACTACGATTTAAATGCCAAGCAGATCAGCTGACCTCGTAGTACCATGTCGATAAGGTCGAATTCCCCATACGTCTATAGTGTAAAAGTGACCCCTATTGCAAATGGGCTGTCAGGGACATCTCCTCCTCTGTAAATTTGGAGGGATCATGTGTCGGCATTCCGACGTTCTTTTCGGAGTCCATCTGTTCCATTTGGAGCCCGTCAGTTGGCGTCAAGAGTTGGCGCAGCGAGCGCCCCGAAGACTGCGTCTGCGCACGAGGCTTCGCGATGGAGGAGTATTTTGACGAAATCGCCCTCGCTGCAGAAGAAATAGAGGGACTTGTTGAGAAAGAGGAGGCCGCAGTGTGCCAACGACTTTAAACTGTACGCCAACGCCAAGACCAAGGCAATCAGGGGGCGCTCAGATGATCGGGAGGTTTCAATTGATCAGGGACCCACCAGGTGACCAGGGAACCCTCTGATAACCAGGGGTCCTTCCAGTAACCAGGGACTCCTTCAATAACCAGAGGCCCCTCAGTAAACGTGGGCCACTCAGGTTACTGAAAGGGACAGGAGTCCCTTATAACCAGGGACCGGCAAGGTCTCTCAGGTCCGTTTTTGACAAAGCTGTTATTGACGTCATATGCGAGCCCTTTGCCACCAGCAGAGGGCCCTTTCAAGCCTTTTTAGGGCCGTTTAACGTCTCTTGAGTTTCCTTTAAGGCTAAGGGCCTCTTCAGCAGCCGAGGGGTCTTTGAGGCCTTTTTGAGGGCCTCTTAACGTCAGCTGAGGACCGTTGGACGCCATCTGAGGACCGTTTGGGGCCTTCTGATGGCCAGTAGATGCCAACTGAGGGCTCTCTGACACCAGCTGAGGGCACGCTGACACCAACTGGGGGCCTCCTGACACCAGCTAAGGGCGCTTTTATATTTGACACGAGCTCAGGGCCCTTTGATGCCCTTTGAGACCTTCTGAGGTCCATTTGACGCCAGCAGAGGACCCTTTGGGGTCATATGAGGGCCCTTTGCTGCCTTCTAAGCGGCCTTTGAGGCTTTTTGAGGGCCGCTTGACGCCACCTGAGGACCGTTGCGGTTGGACTCCAGTTACGGACCGTTTGAGGCCTTCTGATGGCCATTTTGCGCCAACTGAGGGCCCTCTGACACTAGCTGGGGGCCCTCTGACACCAGATAAGGGCCCTTTAAGGCCTTCTGAAGTCCGGTTAACGCTAGCGGAGGGCCTTTTGAGGCCAAATGAGGGCCCTTTGAGACCTTATAAGGGCTCCTTGAGGCTTTTGAGGGCCGCGTGACGGCATCTGAGGACCGTTGTACTCCAGCTGACGACCGTTTGAGGCCTTCAGATGGACTTTTGGCGCCAGCTGAGGAGGGCTCACTGACACCAGCTGGGGGCCCTCTGACACAAGCTAAGGACTCTTTAAGGCCTTCGGAGGGTCGTTTGACGCGAGCTCAGGGCCCTCTGACGCAGGTTTAGGGCCCTTTGACGCCCTTTAAGGTCTTCTGAGGTAGGTTTAACGTTGGCTGAGAGCCCTTTGAACCCATCTGAGGGCCCTTTGAGGCCATCTTGTGGCCCTTCATTTGGCCATCTGAGGGCCCTTTGACACCAGATGAGGGCCATTTGACGCTAACCGAGGGCCCTTCGAGACCATCTGAGGACCCGGTGACCCCATCTGTGGGCCCTTTGAGGTCTTTTGAGGGCCATTGAAATTTCACCACAATACCCCTGGCTGCGCTACTGGGCATTCATGGACTCGTATGGGCCTGCTGGGGAACGAGATGGGCCCTCCCGGTCTTTTCAATCATTATTTCAGTTCATTTTACATGGTCTTCGGCGGTCTAAAGATTAGGGGCCCCAACTCGAATGGGGGGAGGCCCGTGTGCCCTCTCCTGTGTGCGGCCTTGCCGACACTACACCGCTTCCCCTCCGTCCGCCATAAACGCACCGCTGCACTGTTAGGCGCCGACAAATACGGACCGGCGCCGCAACCGGCTCCCCCGCGGCCTGCCATTGGATCATTGATGGTGCGATACATGTTTTGGTCAGATTTTCGCAATTAACGCGAAAAATTGCCCAAAACACTTTTTAAATTTAAAAATTGAAAAAAAAAATAATTACAAAAATGACGTGAAAGTGACCGTTTTCAACGTGTAAATTGAAAACGCTCTAGCGCAGCCATTTTTGAAGAAATCGACTTCAAATTTTGCACACGTGTTCATCAACCATATTTGTTTGACATATATTTCGGTTTTGTGAAAATTTTGAAAATTTCTTATGTTTTTCTCTTGAGAAAGAGGTAAAGCTTCGCTACGATCGGCCTTCCGATCGACCGAGAAGATTCGTAAAGTTAATTCGTATCTTCACCATTTGCGATACAACTTGCGTATCTACTTAGCCTACGATGTGATGGATCCCTCCAATATCTGTTCCGATTCAACTTACGTTTGATCGCAACTGCGAGGTGCCTTGCGATCACATGGATCCCCCCAGCCCTCGGGTCTGCGCTGAATTCGGCACCCCTGCAGTCGGTGACGACATTTGACATCCCCTGCCACACATTGCAAGCTTCAGCAACACCTCATTTTCCGTTTTCCCCTTTCTTTCCCATCTTGAGCTATTTGCGACCATGTCAGGCGCAAATAGGAAATATGAGTTGCGACACATTTTTAACCGCCATGCTGTGCACAGTTAAGCGATTCACTATGGGAAAACGGCAATCAATTGAAAAAGGAATGTCGATTCAGAAGAAAAAAGGTGCATCATCCTAATGTGCATCGCTTTTCATCAGAGAGGGCCCAAACACACACGTTTTGGATAAGAAACTCGTCATTTTCATTTAAACTCACCTGAAACGTCCCATCAGAAACATCGACAACCGTAAAATAATTTGATTTGATAACCAAAGTATGGCTGACCTTTTGACGATGTTTTTACCCTGTTTTCTCCCGCCAGTTTTTCTGTAGGGAGGTAGGTCGCAAATCGGAAAGGGTCGCTAATTAGGCACCTTACCCTACTGATGTGTGCACCGATTGTTTTTGTGTCCATATTACATGAAATCATGATCTGAGAAGCTTTTACCAAAAATGCAGGCAAAAAAACTTCACAAAAAGTAAATTCAGCTTGCCTAAAACGCAATTATCTTAGATGACCTAGGTTGACCTTGACCCTGACCTTGACCCCTGTACATCGTCGAACAACATGTTCCATGATAGGTGGGAGGTACCTAAGACTGGCAAAAAAGGCCGAAATCAAGGTGTCAAAATCTCACAAGGCCCATGGCAAACGCAAGATGTTGAGAATTGGCCATTTGGGTCATGACATGACCTGACAAACAAGGTCATATCTCCGAAACAAAAAATCACAGAAACTTGAAATTTTCAGTGGACATCAAAAAAGGATAGAGGAGCAGCTATACCAACAATCAGCTCTCTAGCTCTAAAAATGTTGAGTGCAGAGCAGAAAGACTACCTGGGGGGAAGGGGGGTGGCACCCTCCCCCCCATGTGCGGGCGAGGGTTAAGATTGGGTTTCATCGGCTTTCTCTCGTCACGGGCAACACGCTCGTTTTTTTCCGCGAAGCTCTAGCTTGATCAGGGGCCAAACGGCAAGGGGGTCCAACCGACCCCCCCCCCCCACTACACATTAGAAGCTGGCAAACGCCGCACACATGCGAGGGTTAACACGTGTCGATACAAAGCCCGAGGGTCGCGGTTTACGGGAGGGGCTGTTCAAACACCCCCCGGTACGGCGTGGATGGCGCCGAGCACCGGCCCGGCGCGGTTAACACGTCAAAGAGGAGGGTGCCTGCCTTTCTCGGCTCCTAAACCACTAAAATGTTTGTTATTTAACAACCTATCACATGAGCAACAACCTGTCACATGGTAAAATCAAATTTGGGACATTTTCTTACCAATTGCTTCTGCAAAACCACAAATGCAAAAAGGTAGGTACACAAAACAGGTGCAAACCTTAGGCATCGCCAAACTTTCAACCCCAACGTCAGACCGTGCGTCACCAACGTCAAATGTCCATTGCACTGCGTATAAGGTCGCGTCAGTCGTGCTGACGTGATATGACAGTGACGGACGGACGGACGGGGGAGGGGGTGGGTCAGCTCACCTGCTCACTGGGTAAGTGCGGAGAGCGGCGGCCGGCGCTCGCGGCCGCCACAGTCACGTGCGGTGTCGGCTGGCGTTCAGTTGGCGGCTCGCACGAGGACGCTGTCAGACGGTATTAGGTATACGTACGTATGTACGTGACTGACGGGAGTGAGAAGAGCAGGAGGAACAACATAACCGAACCGTGCAGTGTAGCACCAGCCTGTGCACTGTGCAGTACGCTGCATCGGTAGCACTGCTCGGGAGAGGTAACACGGAGCTGTGGAAACAGGTCTGGCTGAAAATGAAGACTACGAGTACTGCAATCAACAGTGAGTGGAAAGGTTGATCAATTGGGGCCAAATTCCAAAAGCGAAATGTTAAGCACAGGTGATCAATAATGCAACGAACCCTCATTAACCCGGAAGCGCCGCTACCCCCCCCCCCCCCTCCCCACCCCCACCCACCCACCCCCACCCCCTCCAAAGAAGATTTGCGATGTAAGCTTCCGAGCGCTACGATATTGGAGCACGAAACTGTCAGTACCTTTTCCCCTATCAATGGCAAACCTTTTGAAGTAAAAAATGTATTTTTTTCTGACGTCAGAAGGCTGATGTTTACACCCTTGCAAGAATGGTTTTGACGTCAAAGACCTAAATTTCAAACTGCTGTCAAAATAGAGATTTAGAGATAAAAACTAATGACGGAAACTTTGCGTAACCTAGGTTTGCGTTAGGAAAAAGTATTTACATAACTTTTGTGGCCTGAGGTCAGGTCTCCAAGTCAGGTCAGGGAAACTAACAAAAAATCACAAATTTCGCTTTAGATCATGCTTCAAAACCTGCAGGTTGCAGGTCGATACTAGCTTAGGTCAAGCCAGGAGAGCCAAAAAGAGACATAGTTAGGTGATACTTCTCCATTTCTTAATGGGTAAGACGTGTGATTCTCTTTGCAACCGAGTGTCCGTACGAAAAAAAGTGTCAGTGTGTCAATTTTACCTACATCTCGATGTTTGAGAGTGTCTAGAATAGCGTTCGTGCAAAACAGACGCTTTTCAATTTTCTCCCATTGAGTTATAATGGAGAGGCCGCAAAATTGACCTGACCTTAGGTCACCGATATCAAAATTCCGAGATATACATTTTATAGATAATGTTGCTCTTATCAATCGCTGAAAGTTTCAAGGCAATCGTTCAGCCGGTGCAGCTATGACACGAGCATTCTTATTTTTCTGAGGTGAGGTCATTTGGCGTGACCTGGTGACCTGACCTAAGGCGACCTGGGTATGAAATTCTCACAAATTGTGCGGAAAAGATGCACAAACAGGTGTGCCAAAAACGGCGCAGATATCTGCGAAAAACTGCAGGGGGTGGTCAAACACACCCCCCCCCCGGCCCGGCGCGGGTTAAACGTCATTTGCTCAAAAAATGTCCGACGGATTTCGCTCCAATTTGCAGGCAACGTGTTAACCCTCGCCGGACCTATTGGTTTTCTACATACGCGCCGGCCGAGGGGGGGGGGGGGCGGGTACGACCCCCCCCCCTCGCCGTTTCGCCCCTGGTGGAGCTAGCGCGTCGCGGAAAAAACGAGCGTGTGCGCCGTTACGAGACGCAGAGATTGGTACCCGATTTTAAGGTCCTAGGTCAACCGGTGACCTCTGAGGTCAGGTCAAGTGCCCCAGGGTACGGTTCAGTTTTTGGTGAATAACTTCGCAAAAAACGGCCGCAGAGCGCCGATTTTGGCAGCATCGTGTTCGCCTCGCTCAGGCGCGTCGAATGATATACTTTTTGTCCGGGTCAGGTCAACTTGGGGTGTTGACCTCAGGTCAAGGTCAGGTCAGCACCCCCAGGTCACGAAGTTGGTCGAAAGAGGTCATGTCGCATATCATTCGATTCGGCAGACCTTCCTGAGTCCATTGGTGCCTTTCCCGACTCGCTAGCTCAATTTGATCAAGAGTTATTGACGAAAAACTAATTTGACCTTGATGACGTCATAAATGACGTCACGCAAGGTCAACATTGCAAAAGTGACGCATCTAACCTTGCAAGGAGTGCATCAAATCACGATTCTGTGTGCTTGAGATAGTTGGAGATCGTTCCCGGCGCCAGAATCACAGTTTGAATTTTTCCCCATTGACTTATAATGGTGAGGTCACGAAAATGACCTGACCTCATATGACCTTTAGGAAAAATCTGAGATATACAAGTTGTGGGACTCATAATGGATACTAGATCCTGCAAGTTTCATTTCCCTGTGACATCTCCTCTGGCAGTGAGGGCGTTGCGAAGTTGCGACATCTGAAGACCGTGCAGAGGTTCACTTATGACGTCATAGGTCAGTGACCTGACCTGACCCAAAAATGCGGTTGGTGTCAAAAGATCCGGCTTGGATCAAAGGTCAGGTATGCCAAGTTTCAGCTCTCTATCGCCAGCGTGTTCGGAGCTATCGCGAAAAAACCCTATGGGGGGGCGGCACCCGCCCCCCCCCCCTCGGCCGGCGAGGGTTAAACTGATGTATGATAAGGTACTGAAAGTTTGATGTCGCTGGCGTAAAGTGTAGAAGCTATTGGCGAAAACCGAGATGGGGCAGATTCTGCCCCCCCCCCCCCCAGCTTGGCTAGACTTCGATTACTGGGATCGTGTAAAAATAACCCGAATTCTGAATGTCAGTTACTTTTTATCTCAATGCAATGGAAAAATTGACGTCTGTTCCAGCGCAGACCACGTATGTACCACCCGCACACCCACAGAGTCTGCCAGGCACGTGCCCGTGACATCACCTAGGGGAGAGCGGGGCCAGTTGAACCACTTTTTATATATTGACATGCACAGCGAGATCTAGTTGTCATATCGAAAAATGCACAATGCCATGAAAAAATATGCTCTTTTGGCTTCATTTTAAGATATGTAAAATTATGTTTCAAACATATTTTGCTGCCAAACGCATGCTTATAAAACAGCTCTACGCCCGTTTCAAATGACCCCGATGCGAGGGTCAATTGAACCAGCCCATGGGGTCAATTGCACCTATCCTTAACAATGGGATGTTTTCCTCTTTAAGGCCACTTTCTTAAGGAGATATTTTGTCCGGTTTACTTTTCCAAATGCTACATTCAATAGGTCGTTGGAAAGCTAAAAGTGCAAAGTTCCTCATAATAGGTGACATAAAGTACATAGACTATGGCAAAATGGGCGGATGAGGAAAATGAGAAATATCTCAGGCTATAGTGTGCTTTCAAGCAAAAGGCTGGAGAAAAAGGGGTCAAAAATTGAGCTCTATTTAACTACTATTTCAGTTTAAAAGCTCATTTCAAAGGTGGACTATTTCCTTTAATGTTTACCGATAGGCGTTATCACAAGTGTATTCGCGGCCATTGGGGCAACGTATGAAAAGAAGAAAACAACTGGCCCCAAGAACTTTAAATTATCAGTTAGCATGCACATTTTCCTTGATGTGTAGAGAATTTACCATAAATTGTTAGAGAAAACTGCATTTAATATCTTCCATTTATGCTTTTTTCATCGTTTGCACAATGTGTTCTTTTACTTAGCTAGAAACACTAATTAGAAATAGTTCCCGCATCCGTCAAGAACAATAGGGAAGGCTTGAAGTTAATACAATAATCTAAACGGTTTTGTAATCTATGTGAAGACAGTTCTAAAATTGCCTGTAGAAATATTGAAGGCAAAAAGTCAACTTCTTCACAAGACTGATGTCTATAAACCTATTCAACGTATGACAACTCAGCCGGTATTTCGTCGCCTACAGCCCAGCTTTCCCTAGTGACCGATAGAGGCGCTGCTATTGATGTCCGCCCGTGCCGCCTAACGCAGCCCCTGAACAATAACCATTGCAAAGGTCACCGGGGTCCATTGAAACGGCCTGTGGCCCTGTTTCAACTGACCCTCAGAGAAGCGTTTCAATTGACCCCATCCGCTCCCGCCATCTCGCACGCGCCGTAAAGCATATGTCAAACAAGCTGGAGGGACGGCATCATGCTTAATGAAGGGCCAAATAAGGTGTTATTCCGGAGCCAGGAGTTCTTCTTTCAGCAAACAAAGGTATATGGGATATCACAAAATATTCATAAAAACGATTTCTACCAAACGCCCCTCAAAAACACAAAAACAAGTGTCAAATCAAAATTACCGTCCGTTTGCCGCCCAAACGCCGTTGACAAAGAAAGTGGTCGAGCGCGGATGCGCAGTGGTGCCGGCAACGCCATATGTTGCATACTTTTGAAAATAAAGCCATGTTTCATCTGACCCCGTGTTTCAACTGGCCCCGCTCTCTCCTACTCGCTGTGCAAATATCAACCTCTTGGAAAGAATTGATTGACAGCGCATCACATCACCACACAGCGGGTGCAAACAGATAAACAGGTAGACAAAGTGGCATTATACAAATGGTACAATGGAGGTACTATATAGTGGATAGGGAGAAGGTAACCAGCACCTTGATACTGATAATGCTGTCACAGTCGCCAGCCACTGACACTCTATTAGTCTCACTCTTGCTAAAGTCGACATGTACGTATATAAATGCATGCCTAATTCCTCGATGTGAAGGCTCGCGTCCCGCTGGAGGAGGGAGGAAACGAATTATCCCCCCCCCCCCCACACACACATGTCCTGCCTGCAGTGTTTGTCAGAAAGGTTTTTAACTTGGTGGATTGCATGCTGCTATGGGCGCCTACAATTCGTATATCTCGGATTTTTTTTATATCCGTGACCTAAGGTCAGGTCAGTGGCGTGACCTTTCCATTACCTACAAGTCAATGGAGAAAAATGAAAATGCCTCTAGATCCGTGTGTACGCATAGGAACAGTCCAAATATTTCAGAATCACAATGATTTGGACCACTAGTGATGGCCTTGGTGTCATTTTTGCTGATAGCAAAAATGACACAAAAAATGAAAGGTCATCCGAGGTCATTTGAGGCTACAAACAGATTTTTGCCAATAACTCGCGATTAGAACGCTGGGGATGGTCTCATTGTGTTCGTCTTGTTGAGACGCATCGACTGATATGCAACATGACCACTGGCGGATCCAGACTTGCGTTTTGGGGGGGGCCAACTCATGCAGGAGCCAAACCTAGGGTACCCCCAAATCCTGTTTTCTCATCGGATTTAGGCCACTTATTTTTCGTCACAGCCCTGACACTATGAATATTTTTTTTAACTAAAAATAAAAATATATTAATGGTAGCTCACCCGACCCATGCCTTTATATTACTTTGTGAACACTTACTATTGCTTTTGTCGACCACACTGTAAAAAAAAGTTTAGCATTTGGGGTACTAACGGCTGCTATTCGTAGCACCTTTTAGCGT